AGGAAAAAATTTCTAACCTGCTCGTCGTGGCCGGGAAGGGGGATCAAGGACATCTGACGTGTGCTGGTACGGAGCCAGGAGCCAGGATTGTGCTGAGTAGGTCTATCTCAAGGCAAGTGCTTATTCATACAAAGGTCTGCAGCCTGCAGTGCCCTCCAAACCATGCAGAGCCCCCAGAGGCGAGGCCAGGGGGGCTGCCCTCCCAATGACAGCGTAATGACCCGCAGTCACGAAAGAACAGGTTCCACGCCGACTGGCCACACCCCCACCCCAAAGGTGGGACGGCGACTTCACCGCCGACGGTCACAAGCAACACCAGCCTCAAGTGTTTCCAGCCCAAGGGGAGGGGGGGTCACTCAATTCTAAAGGACAGCTCGCAGATACCGGGTCAAACGCGGTAGCAGAGGGAGGAGACGCCGGCGAAGGTGATAAATTCAGGGTTAGGGGTTGTGGAAACCTCACCCTTCAAAACAAACATTACGACTATCTCTGGGCCAGGTCCCGCAGCAACAAAGGCCATTTAAAAAGACCGTAAAGGCAAAGGAATGTCGGGGATTCAAGCTGGTTATGGTAAATAGTTTTACGTACGTCCCGGTAATGTCCCAAAAACAAAAATATAAAACGACCCAGAACAGGAAATTTAGCAATGAACTCTCAGTTCTGCATGCTGCCACAGTCTTTACTGTCAGAAGGTCTCTCTCACAGAGACACAGACACACGAATGTTAATAATGTGAATCTCCTGCATTAGGACTAGGTGTGAAGCCACTGAACGGATTTGACAGGGAAATTTGAGGGAAATCTGTGCAGCCTGGTGGGAGAGGCAAATGGAAATGAACAACAAACAAGAAAAATAATAAAGCACATGTGCAGGTGTGAACGTTTTGGTGAGGTGCCAAGAGACCGGAGGGGGGGGGGATGGGGGGGACAGCACAAAACAGGGATGGTTTAACAATTAGGCCGTGTGTTTTGTTGAGACATATGCCAGGTCTGGGCCTGTTGCTGGATGCTGCCACCGCGATCAAAGCAGAGACGGGAGCCCGAGTGGAACAACATTCACAGCCCAGGACAGCGGGAAACACAGGCAGGAAGAGGAAAAGCCCAGTGCTTACAGCCACCCTGAGTGGAGGCCCTGAATAAACCAGTGTGGGGGGGTGTGTTCTCAGCACCCAGCCAGCATTGTACTCTAACGTCGTAAATCAGTATAGTTAATGGTGTCGTTGTACACAACTTCAATCGCAGATTTGAACCCACTGTAATTTCTTTCTACAATTAAAAACTGGCACTGTATAGATTTTGGGATTAAAGCTGCCTACCATTTAAAACGAACATTCGCTGTAACTACAGGGGCGCCAATTTATCTCCCGTCAGAACGCGAACGCCACTAATGAGTGTAAACGCTGAGCAGCGGCGTACATAAAAGGCTGGTATCTGAACGGGCGCCTGTTTGAGGCCCAAGCCGGCCACAGCCACGCCGGCCTCATCCCACCAGCCAATCACAGTCGTCCTCGGGCTGCCGGTGTGTCTGCTTCTGGGGGGGCGTGTCAAGCTGGCCCTGTGTTAGCTAGCCGTCCTCAATAGGGACACGGAAAACCTGCTCCCTTGGAATCACACCTTGGTGAGCAAACTGGAACACTGACCCCAGATCTGCAACTCCTGATGGGGATGCTTTAAGCTGCCTGTAGACAACTGAGCGCTTTACCAATACAACCCAATCAGGTCTTTTCTACTGATCCTTCCAGAGGATATAAAAACATCAGAAAAAAGCTTAACACATTAAAGCAGGGAGCTGAGAGGGAACAAAAACCTGGACTGTCTGTGGGTCCCCAAGGACCGGACTGGGAAGCACTGCATTAAAAGGTTAGAAGGCCTGTTGTGTGTACACCCCACCTTTGTGTGTCTTCTCAGCAGAGGCGGAAAGTTCAAGTCCAGAAATTAAAAATCCAGACCGATTGCCAACTGGGTGAGTATAAAGAGTCACGTTCACATAGTATTCAAACGGTTGGTTGAAACAAAATCTTTAATATTTATTTTCCGGACTTGAAATTCCCCCCTCTGCTTGTCAGTAAACGTTCCTTTGTGTGTTTACTATAGGTGGGAGGTGTTTGTAATGAAAACACTGCAAAGGAGAAACGAACAGCACAATGGAGAGATAACGCCCAGGGTAACAGCCACCCCCCCCCCCCCAAAAAAATTGTCTGACTATTTAGTTGGGAAGAAGAGTGTGTGTGCAGGGCTGTAGAGAGGTGAGGAGTGTGTGCTGATCACACACCCACCACACAAAAAACCATCTCCGGGGTGAGGACCTTCCAGCCGTGCGGCAGGTCACACCTCAGCACCACACTAGTCCGAATGGAACAGCGTGAGTATTTTCCAATGGCTGGAGTGCCAATCCTGCCACCAACCCCTAAATATTCCCCTCCTTATAGGGCTGGATGTAGATTAACGCCACACCCAGGACAAAGCAAATGCAGGTTAAGGGTCTTGCTCAAGGGTCCAATGGAGTAGGATCACTCCTGGCATTCACGGGACTTGAACCAGCAACCTTCCGATTGCTGGCACAGATCCCAAGCCTCAGAGCCAGCACTCTACCCCGAAGGGCCCCCCCTAAATTAGCAGGTGGAGGCAATCGGACGCACACAGCGGGGTGTTAAACATCCCTGGCAGTTACCTGTCGCCGCGCAGCCGTTGGCTCGACGACGCCCTGTCTGCACATCAGGCAGCATGGGGGCAGCCAGGAGACCTGTTCCGCCAAACCACAGCTAGTTTATTTCAGCTACAAATCAAAATATCCACTGAAAACAGCAGAGGAAGTCAGCCAGTGATACTGACATCACTGACTCACATCAACAACCACGCACACAGACAAAATGGTCGAGACTTTGAGTCTCCTAAGGTCAAAGGGCACAGCATCACATACAAACCAGGCAGAGCCTCGGAATCACAGGAAAACAAAAACTAAACCTTCAATTTGTTTACACGGAATCCGTGGCAGGAATGATATACTGGCCTGCCTGCAGAGCCATTATTCTAAGCAATGCAACACTGATGCAATAAGATGTACTTTTGGAAAAGAAAAAAAAAACACTAACAAATAGGGACGAGACAAGTTTCCAGTGAGGCTTAACTGTGACTGGTGCCAGACCACAATGCAGTGGCACTATAGAGTGACTGGTGCCAGACCACAATGCAGTGGCACTATAGAGTGACTGGTGCCAGACCACAATGCAGTGGTACTATAGACCCTCGCAATTTCTCCACTATGGATATAAAATCACTTCACTGCAAAGGAAGACACTTATTTAACTGTTATCCTAACAGTTTCTACTAGTCTTGAGTTTAATAAATCAGGGAGAGAGGGGCTTGCTAGACTGAAGACGGAGTGAGAGGCGAAAAGGTGAAAACCAAGATTTTAAAAGGAGAGAAATGACTGGTCAATCAGGCCAATTAAAAACGAGATGGCTTCCCCTTTAACAAAAAGCTACGCTCACCAAAAACATGCATGAGTGCAGCCACTGGAGAGAAGAGCCATCTACAAGCCTTCTGCTGACGTGACCCGATCACATCAGTCACCAGGCGGGGGGTTCACCAATAAATTGCTGTTTCTTGTGCAGCAGGCTATATTTAAATGCACAAAAACAAAGAGGACAGCTGATATTCCCTACCCATCATATGCTTCATGCCATGAGAATGAGTTTGAGGATCAAACCGAGTACCAAGAAAAAGATGAGAATTAAATGCAAATGGACAGGGGTAGGATGATCATTCTTGCATACACAGTGTTGTTAGTCCTAGTTACACACTTGATGAGAACTGCATTTCCCAGCACAGTACCGGCTGCAGCAGTAAGGGGGCGACGTGGAACAGGAACACACAGACCCCCCGTGCTTCTCTCTTCTGGAGGCACAGGGACGGAATGCGGTTAATGCGTTGCTGTAGCCTGTTTCACTCCCAAATCTTGTTAAAAACGCCAGTGACAGCCTACAATTGTCTGAATGTAGCAGAAGATTTGCAATCCCACCCCCCCCCACCCCGACAGTTGATGATCTAGACTGCCCCCCTGCCACTGCCTCAACTGCAGTACTACCACGCCCCTCCCTCGCAAAACCACATCTACCCACTCTCTAAAAGCACGTCTGGCCCAGCCAACAAAGGGGGCCTGTTGAGTACAGAGGGTGGAAGAGGAGGGTCCTTATGGCAATTCCCCCAGGGGCAGCAGCACGTCTACATCAGCGGAGGGGGTTCCTGACTCCGCAGCTGTTCCAGCTCACAACTGGATGCACGGGAGAGTGCGGGGCTCTTAAAGGGCCAGTGCGGGGCTCTTAAAGGGCCAGTGCGGCACAAAGTCGATCGAATGCGGTGAGAAAACTTACATCCTTCCTGACATTGGGATGGCATTAGGTGGGATCAGCCAAAAGTTGCTCTAATGACATTTGGGTGACTAAGCTCCAAAACAGGCGGCCACATACACTGAAAAGTTGATACCTCTGAGCCATCATCATGTAAAAAGGTCATCGATTCAAGAATCACCAACGCAGACAATGCTGTTTCTTTAGGCAATCAGTTAAGAAGTGAACCACCCATAATGACCCCAGTGCCACACCTCATCACCAAGAACACGGTATCCAAGAAAGGGCAAAAGACATTGTTCTGAAAGGTTACACAGCCTGTCTCTGAAAATCGCAGGAAGTAACTAGAGCCTTTTAAACACTGACCAGATTCAGTGTTTAGAAAGTGAATGGATCACATTCACATATTTCAAATGTTATACCTGCATTCCTGTCAAATGAAGCACATGACCTGGGTGGCATCTAGCAGGTCTACAGATCTTGCTTCATGCCTGGGACATTCCCAAATGCACCATTTCTCCATTTCATTGGGCTACTCCAGAACGAATCATATCTTCCTTGTACTACGTCAGAAGCAACACTTCAATGACAGAACCAAGCAGAAACACAAAAGAATGGTCCAACAGCAGCTCATCTGCAAGATAGGAATTACCTGCTGGCATGCGTTCTGCGAGATCTTCGGTCCTCCAGCTCAGACGAGCTTTAAAAAAATAAATGCATCTGCGAGTCTGGACTTTGAAGAAGAACTCCACCCAACTGTGATGAAATGCTTCCACATCTATAATCAAGAAGGAGGAAAAAATACCACAGAAATATAAGCAATTGTACTCGCATGTTCTGACATGGACTAAACTGTATACTAAAAGCACCAGATATTACAAAGTTCACACAATTTAACAGGCCTGCAGTTAATGAAACATGACTGCTAGTTAAATCGAGCAGACAGCTCATCAGGTTTCACTATCCAAGCATAAAAACTCTGACCGTCACCAAACTGTAACCAAGGACTTATTTGGCAAAACACCAACTCAACACATAGGGAAGCTTCTAGCTGTTTTTTGGGTTCGGGCTTTTCAACAAGCACTTTAACAGAAAAGGAACGAAAAATGGACCAAAGGCAGACAAACTTGCAAAAAAAAAAACCAAAAAAAAACAAAGAACTAACTAATGTATAAAGGCACATTTCATGATAGTGGTGCTGTGGCTCTGAAGCCACCTGAGCAAGTCGCACCACAGACCCGGCAGGGGAATGCAGTCACGGTGCGGTAGTCACGGTGCGGCAGTCACAGCTAGACGCGGTTCAACAGGTCAGTCACCCTGCGAACAGAAGCAGCACCCCGGCCCTGCACAGCATGCCCACCTTGCACTGGGTGTGTAGTCCCACCGGTTTACATTAAAAATGAGCCGTTTCCGCATCACTCTCTCTGCTGTGATGGACAACAGTGACAGTCCAGTAATACAGGACAACAATTTCATCAGTCTCACTCAGACTCAGACTCCTTAAGTTTAATCCAGTTTTTCTTAAGCATGAGACCTTCCTGACTACACCAAACACGCTGGTTTACAGACAGATACTCGCTATTGGAAAATGCCATAGGCACCGACCACAGGCAGCCACCTTCAGCCTGTACACCATCATCTACAGCAGTGTGTCACAACCCAGTCCACAGGGACTCCTAGACAGTCCACATATTCGCTCCCTCCCAGCTCCCAACACACCTGAACCAGGTACTCAGCATGCATTATTGGCTGGGAGCAAAAACGTGGACTGTCTGGGGGTGCACACGGACTGGGCTGAGAAAACACTGGTGTAGAGCAGATATGAAAGGCCAAAGTGAAGCACATTCACCACTGCAATATAACAGGGGCATTACGCTCCACTGCAGAAGACTGACCTCCTTCGCAGTGGAGGGAAACGTTTGCAATCTTACCGCCAAACAAGCCATCAAACGCACATTTTAGGAGGGGGGGGGGGGGTGCAGCGGCTGCAGTCTTAATTCTACTGAGGATGAGTAACAGGTCGACAAAGATGAATCACATAAATAAAATCTGAATTAATCACAAACAAAAAGCGAGGCCATCTGCCATGATTCCTTGAAAGGCGGGTGACATTCAAGGCGGTGAACCCGGCCCGATTACAGAGAGAATGTTCACCCCCTGACTGTGCGGACAGCAACAGATGCACGGCTTCACCCCCGTGTAAGACCCAGCATCCCCATTCAAACCGTGCGCCGCCTAGATAATCACCAGTCTGCCTGTTAATTTAATAAATAAAGCGCTTCAAACAAAAGCCCTTCACCTTCACAGTCCATCATCTTCTCAAAATCGCAAGCTAAAGTGACACAGCAAGATATTAATCTTTCTGAGCTGTCAATTATTTTTCTGCAGGCTTTTCTGACTGCCCGTAAAGAGGGACCACCACATCTGTCGGACGGAGGAAGAATCCCCATAATTAATGAGAGTCATTTATTACAGCAGGTGGGGGCAGGGTCTGGGGTGGGGACACACGCACACGTGCGCATTCATCAAAACCACACACATAACCACAAACACTCAAAATGCTCTTTGTGCTCCAGAGAGTTACCACATGCTGGACAGTAGGTCTACTGCAGACAGGCTCCAACAGGAGCCGCGGAGACATACATCAGGCCCCTTTCTGAAATCTGAGGGCAGAGAACGAGTGGCACCACCCAGGCGCGGAGCCCGTCCCCACAGACAGCGGGGTGCCGGCCAAGGGGATGCGTCTCGTGCCAGTCATGCGCCCGCCCCAGCGCCAACAGCGACTTCCTGCCCAGGAAGTTCTTCAACACTGGGCTGAGCTCACCTGCTTTTTATAGAAAAGCTCAATTTCAAAACGACAACGCTTTTCTTATGGCATCAAAGGGAAGCACATACAACCCAGCAATAAAGTTCAAAAACGACGGCACTATGTTTAGCTACCTGTTCAATTTACATACTCAGGTCCCAAGAGACACACTTTGGACACATTTTCCTTCTTAAAAAGCAATTCTACGAAAAGCACAGCGTGGAGAAAGGGGCCCCCGTCTTGCTTTAAGGAATGTGACGAGCACTGATATTACCTACGGCAGATAAATCACAAGCAGGTGTCCTTATATGGAGAAAAACGCATATAAGGAGACTGAAAGATTCAAGTTTCCTGATGGTGCTTGAGAATTAACGACTGGGGGCTTGGGGGCTGCTTCCAGCCAAGAACAGCCATACGACTCTCCTCTTTTCTACCTTTTCACATCAACATGTAGGCAAAGTTTTTTCGAGCGAACGATCCTCACCAGCGTGACATGATGGCGCAAGCTTAGCATGAAAGTTTGTCACGACAAAAGAAACCCTCAACCAGCAGATTGGGCCTCTCTATTCAGGCCATCAGGGGTCTTGCTCAAGGACAGAATACACAAAGGGAAACTTAATCACACAGGACATGCACCCCCCCCCCCCACCTTACTACCAGGACGGGTTAAGCACATGAGACCTGGGAGACACCATATGATTATATCTGAACTGGAGGTAAAGTGATCTGACTGAACCTTTACAAATCCTAATCTTCAGAAGAATGTAAATTTTCCAAAGTAAATGGTGCTGCATCTGCCAATCTGTTCAATTCACCAGCCAAGATATGCTGTATCAGTGTAGCCCACTGGCACCAGGACATATCAGAAGTGACTGGTAAGTCAGTTGGAAGAAAATAGTAACATCCAGCGGCATCCGGGGTCATGTGAGGAGAACTGCCACATGGTTATTCCAGGAAAAGCATGTAGAAACCTCAAAATCAAGTGCAAATTCTGCACCCCCACAGTTAAAGGAGAAACCCAAAATGATCTAAATGTATTTGACGCATTTTACTCCTCTTACAGCAATACAAAAGAGCCAAAGAGCACCCATGGGGCCGACTCAGAGACCCAGAACCAGAACCAAAACACCTGCAAGCCAAGAACCACAAACTCTCCCCGGTGATGTTCTGTAGCCTCACAAAACATCCCAGAAAGCACCACCTATTCCAGACGAGTTCCCGGATATTAAACCACACCTGCGGCGAGCAGGAGGCAGCCGTACCGCAGACGGCCGAAAGGTCACACCCAGTCACTGCAGCTCACATATGCCACTGCCCAATGGAGCTCATCTCATTTATGAATGAGACTAAGGATGTAAATGCCTCATAGCGCGATGCATTCCTCAGCTTTCCAGTGTAAACTACATGCTCAGCCTTATACTTGCTAGAAAGGACACTGACAGGTCATAAACAATTACACTACATTCATAGAGGGAGTAAAAAATCACGGGGTCCTGAGCACAAACCTTTCCAGCCCCACCCTCCCCACGGAAGATTTAATTTGAAATGGTCACAGACTATTTCTGCGAATATGGGACAAGGTACCCAAAACCCACATTTTGAGCTAACAAATGTACCAATTCGTGAAGCTCTAATGACTAGCACTACATAGTGGCTAGAGAAATTCAGCCAAAACTGAACGCTGAATGCATTCAGAAATGGGGGACAGGGCTCAAGCCACGTCCCCCCAGGCAACTCAAGTGGCCCCAAGAACCACAGCTGGCCAAAACCAGTATAGCATCTAAAACAGCCCTGGGCCTCATTAAATGACTGGCAGTGCCATAGGTATAAGATGTCTTAATCTAAAAATGGCCACGGACTGCCTTCACAAGGTCGAGGACATCGCTTGTGTCCCCTTTAAGTCCCCAAGCCCAGTGGGCCCAAGCCGTAATCAACCCATGAGTGTCCCCCCCGCTGACTGATAGGACTAAATACGACAAATGCTGTGCTGTCCCAGTTCCATAAAGCAAGCAATTCCATTCAAGCAGGACATCCTTTTGTGGAGATGCAGCCAAAGATTACACAGCAGTTAATAAGGGAGATTCATGCAAAGAACAGCGAACCAACAGGAGTCAGGAAGGGGTCGGTCTTGCACTGGGACACTTATTAGTTTTAGCGCAGGGGGCCTTGCATGAAACCGCACGCCCAGACCTCTCCAGAGCACCCCGCTATGGACCTCAGAGCCTCCTGTCCGAACTCCACGCCCCCGTTAGGGAAGTAAATCACTTCAACACAGTGGGGAAGAGGGCACAGAGCCCTGGGGGGAGGCATCCCCTCAAAATACCAACATCACTGAAGTGCCGCATATTTCTTAGAGAAAAGAGGTCAACGGGCCCACGAAAGTGTATTTGCTGGTTGGTATCCAACTCAAGCGATTGAGTGAACAAATTGATATAAAGGTAAACAGAGTTAACTTTAATCCCCCTTGGCCCAAAACACGACCGTGAGTAATACTGGGGACCAACATCATACCAAGATACGCCCCCACCCCAATAAAACAAGTGACATTTAGTCCTCTTCGCGTGATTTGACCACCTCACGCGGTACAATCACTTCAACAACAATCCCATAACTTTGCCTACAATCTGATGTTTCTATTTAGGACGCTAAATTTACACCCGCAGTATTTAAAACTAATCATAAACATAACACTGCAGTCGAATATTTTACGTTTGACGTTTCAGCAAATTATCCGCGCGTTGTCAGATTTATGAAGACCGAAGAACTGGCACTGCGAAATTATGAGACACAAAAAGGTGGGAACCGAAAGCAACAGCTGTCCCAGATTTAAGTCATTTTCTCCCCTCATTTGAAGACACAACAAGTTTTGCTTCATTAAAAATACCCCGTTTATGGCCCTACAGAGGTAACAACAGATGTTTTTCCAGCACGGGAACTTATCGTTTCTATTCAGATTCCCCCCCTGTGCTGTGATTAATGCCGCGCATTAACTGCCAGTCAAGGTCCCACGTGTTTAATATGGCAGTCATTTCTGTTAAATGATAAACACACGATGCGTCTCCGTCCTGTGCATTTTATAGCTGCTAAGAAAGTTACCCCACTGTCACAATGGCTTACGACGTACGTGAAGGATTTACCTGCTTACTGCGTTATAGTTTCATATATGTAATGAGACCTGCCTCAAGTCCAATTATGGGGAAAGACTGCGGCTTTCAGAGCAACTCTCCACAGATGGTCGCAGATTTCGCTGAATTGTGAACGAAACGTGATATAGCGGGTATAATCTCTAGGGTGGCTTAAGTTCCCCCCCCCTCTCCGGCAGGCAGCATTTAGCGCACCGGGGGGCTGATTCCAGCTGCGCATGCAATCAGCGTGCAGTCTATACGCCGTGTTAGGGACCGGGCAAACAATAACTCTACCCCCCCCCCCCCCCCGGTATAAAACGTCTAAAGGAGTCTTAATAGTGGTCAGACAACTTTCCCTCGTTCAGGGAGTCTCTGGTAGACAAATGTCTTTACTATTACTCACTTCACAGGTCTCCACATGTAACCAAACAACGGTAATAATATTTGCCGCAAATTAAAGTAAACTGAGATTGTTCATCCACACCTCTTTCTATACTTTTCAACCTTTCATATAGTTCCAAGACTACATGGGCTTATTGAATTCTTAACGTGTTTTCCGCGAAAGTTAAAGGATAATTTGCCCGCACCTTGGGCACCACGACGGGATTTTTACGGAGGACGATGGGCGTCATGTTCTGGAAATAAAAACTCATCTGTTTTCGTCCCGTAACGGGAATCGTGGCAATTCCTTAAGAACTAAAAGGACACGGCGTTCCGAAGTGTAGATAAACAAGAAGTTCACATTTTGGGTGAATTTGGCGACAACACGGTACCTAAAACTGCCACAAAGGGTCCTCACTGTAGATACGAGCCCATAGTTTTCAGTCGGACAAAGAATCGCGGAGAAACTTTAGCAAAATACCTCAAACAAGAGTCAAAGAGACCCATAGTCAAATATTTCTCAGTAACCGTGTCCTTTTTCGGTGTATAACCGTCACAAGCTTGTGCCATTTATAAATAGTTCCACACGTCTATTTATTTTCCAATAAATAATAAACTAGGCTGATGAAGATCCGGCACGCTGAGATGTCCCACAAATAAGCCTGGATACTAAACTACACCCATTCAATAATATAAACGGCTTAAAAATAATAAGTGATCATAGAATACTACAACGTAAACTGTATTTTGTACTGTTAACAAGCTACAAAGTATATCGCACATTAAGTATTATTGTGACTTGCCACGTTTTAAACAAAGTGGCACGTTGTAGAGGGGGTGGGGAAAGTTGACAAATCTAGTCAGACACGATATGGTAAGAAAACCACTCAATATTCACTGAATCAACAAGAATCCGGTTCGATTGCAGCAACTTTCACGTGTAGTCAAATATTAAAAATGAAACTTTTCTAATTGCTAATGATGCTTGACAAGAGTAGCAACGTATAGGCTAACGTTACCTTCCAAAGAAAGAAAAAAAAAGACCGACTCGCACTAGCACTAAAAACATAGGTCGGTCCTGATAGTAAACAGCAAAACTCAGAGCAAATTTCCCTTTAACTCCATTACGGTAAACTGCAAATGAATCGCGACACATTAACAGCTTCTGACCAGAAGTAAACAGCCGAGGTACCAGTGATCGGCCAAGCGCGTATCATTGCTTTGTCTCCCATTGGTCTGATATTGAAAAGCACGACGATTCCCGGTTTTCCTGCGATCAAACTCGGGGGGGAAAAGGTGCAAATCAAACTTACCAGATTCCTAACTATCCTCAAACTGTAATACGCCGGAGAACAGTACTAAAAAAGTACGAAGTCGTGCATGCCCGACCGCCTCTAAAAGTCACTTTGCTGTAAACTCTTCTAAACTTCCAAGTCTCCGTACTGTGCAGCAGGTCCAGCCCAGCCGAGGGTGATCTGAAGACCACGCCTCCGCCCGACGGACACCCAAGGCTGAGCCCAAACCACACCTCCGTGTGACAGACCCAGTGCCGCCGGCCAGTCTGTTAGCAATGCGCATAATATTAGAATATGCAACATATTATCATTGTATTATTATATTGCAATGTATAGTCCATTGCACTATATATTATAATGGGTAATGCATTAGAGTTTAGAATAGTTACGGCGGACTAGTCACGGTTTAGACACACTGAATTTCTACAGCGGATTCGGTACTGAATTTCCATTTAGATTTATAAGATTTATAGCATAGCCGTGACCCTCTCTCGGCTAAACAAAAGCATTCAAGGCTGGTGTTGTTCAGAATAGTTTATTGAGAACGTGGGCAGATATATTTCACAATATAGGGTGGAGGGATGAGTTTGTCTGACTTTAAGAAAGCCTCAAAGCAATAAGCAGCTTCAGAATCAAAATAGGGCACAAGATCATTGCTCATTACCGCTGAACTGAGACTTCAGTGCTTAGTGACACTGTGTGGGTCTTAAACTAAAAATAAGAGCAGGGATCTATTAAATGAAAAAAGCGTTTACTTGTCGTACAAAACTATTGAGACATTATTTATTATTATTATTATTGGTAGTAGTATTATTGCAGACAAGCTTAAAATGCGTCCCATGATTTCCAAACGAGGGCATAAACATTACAAAGTAGCAAATACATTTTTTTGTTAACCACGAACAGACAAAAACAACTAGACTGGCGTCCTGACGCTGAACCTCATCACAATCTTGTAATTTTTACAAAATGGTGACCATGTGTGTAAAAGATGTTTATCTAGCGAGTTTTCTTGTTTTGTCTTTTAACTTACATAGCGGTAACGGGAATTTTATGATCCTAGACGTCGTTATATGTTATACATCACAATAACATATTATTGCTTCAGTATTATATACAGTATTATATTCCTTACTCTTCCTGTCTAGGGAGTCATTTACTACTGCCAAAAATTAATACATAAAATAAGTACATTTTATGTATACATTCTACTAAAACACAAATCTTACTTCTCATCATAATCGCAGAGAATAGTTTACCGGAGTACACCGCTGATTGTAGTCTCTGTCCGGTTATGGTTTGGTTACCAGTAGGGGGTGCATGTCTGGTTTCAGTTATTTTTAACTGACGATGACAAATATCCCGACCCCTCCCCCAACCACACTGCCTGACGTGATGCCGCCGTGGTCATGGCAGGGACAGCTAATGGGCCAGCATGCCCCGTGACACTGGGACTGTTTCACCAGTGGCTGTCAATCCCCCTGCTTAAAGGCACCACCAAATGACTTGACAGTGCCCTTGGAGCTACTCCAGGGTTTTGCATTGTGCCAATGGATTAATCTGCCATAATAGCTACGCTAATAGGGTCGTCATGGTAATTGTGGCTAGACAGACACCCCCACCCCCTACAACCCCCAAAGCTCCCTGGCAGTCATTGTACAGTATGATCATGCTATTAAGGTTCTCTGCTGCCCGCCGCATTCGTAGCCTCATTTTGCCCCAGTAATAGGGCACGGTAATTTGTCATATGGCCTGTAATAGGGCACATCACAGCCATTCGTGGCGCAGACCCCTGTGCTAACCAACGGGGGCCCTGGGGCAGATCGGCGTCCCCCCCTCATCTGTGACGCCTGAGGGCAAACTTTCAGAGTCAACCCCCCCCCAACCGACAGGCTTGCTCTGAGTCAACATGGCAGTAACAAGCCAAGTATTAATCTCATGCATCAGCTGGCCGATATCTTAACACTCCATCATAACTGCAGCCTGTTTCATTCTGTCTCCTGTATCTACAGGCTCTGTAAACATGTGCAGCTAAAAAAAGAATTTCAGAAGCACAAAAATGAATAAGTGACTCATTGTTTCCACCTTAATGGCTGCACACTGAATGCAAATATAAGGCTGTTTGTAAAGGCGAATGTTTGTCACCGCGACACCTGAGTGATTCTGGGAGCCACTTTGCACCCTGGATGCTGAGCGGCATCCAGCCTGACTTTCTCAGACACGACAGCTCAGCAGAACAGAGAATATCTGTTTCTGTCTAGGACCCTGGGGAAAAATATAGAACAGTACACTCACTGATACACAGTATGTGAGTCACTCTCCAGTCTTAATGCTTTTAGTTCATGAGTGTCTCATAATGAAATAGCAATCTAACATTCGTCTTTCTCTCTAATCAAAGTGTAATGCGTTTATATTTTTTGCAGAACTGGGTTTATTTGCACAGAGGAATGTCTTATACTGTAAAAAAAAGGACCTAAAATCCAACATGCGTTGGCTCTTGTCCAGACTACTAGTAAGTGACATTACTCAGTGGTCGTCGTTTAAACAAATACATGAGACCAGTCACTGAACCATCACCAGAACATGGTTAGAGATCTTCTGGTTTGAAAGCCGTACTACTATTCAGCCCAATGTGGTTTGGTCTAGTTCCAGGAAAACAGTTTGACCGCATTTTTTCTTTTTGTGTTACCACTTGGAGAACATTGCTGGTTTTATGAGCCTATGGTCCCCTCTCTAGTAGCGGTAGGTCCAGAAATGCACAGAAATGGAAAAAGAAAATGTGTAGGATAACGGTCAGCTCGATGTGTGGCCGTGAAATGGATACCGTCCACGTGCGCGCAGTGGGCTCCATTGGCTGGCGTTTCCACATTCAGAATCCTTATTGGTCATTTGAGACATTTCATGATATTTAAGCTACGACTATGGATGGTAATAATGTCAAGGGCCTAATATAAAGTATTTGATTTCGGCAAAAAAAAAAAAAATGCAGTTTACAATTTTGACCAGCAGCTTGCCAGAACTTGTCTAGAATATAATTTCAGTAATATGAAAAGAAAAAGTTTATAAACAATCTAAAGGCTTCCTTTCACTTTCTCACTGTTAAATTATCGGTATGTTTACATCATACTCAAAAATGGAGGCTAGCTTTATGTGAGTATTAAGTAAACTATGTAACCCATATAAAAAACCAACATTTACACAGATTTGCAGTAGGCCTTAATGGCTAACGTACTACATTCACCATACTATTGGTAAAACTCTGTCTGTAATGATTAAACAGATGAGATCGTTTTTATGATGTTTTCTGGTATGCCATCCTGTTACTAAACAGAATTCACACTAAGCTGCATTTTCATGCTAATATGAAGTCAATAAACCAAATAAGTGCTAAACCTAACTAAATGAACAGTGTGGCTCACTAATTTATCTTCCTAATTAATTCCAGGTGTTCCCTGTAACTCCCTAAGGGAAAACAGTGCCGTTATTTTAAATGAAGGTATAAAATTAGAACCCAGAGTGATAGTGTTTGTTGCACCAGTTCGGTGCACATGTCTCACGTCACCCCCGTAACAGGCAGAAGTGACTAAGCACGTTCGTGCAGTAGTTTTCACTGGGACACGCCTGTGTGTGTTTACAGGCCCTGGCGCTGGAAGCCATGGCAACAAGTGTCGACCAAGACAAATGTAAGATGCCAAGAAGAGCCCATGTCTATGGAACGCTTCAGATTCTAGCCCTGGCAGGCCTCGCAGCCCGAACGCACCGGCGAAGCTGCGAGCGAGAGCCTGACCTCGGCACATTTCATTATGGTTAATTGTCGAGCGATTCCTGCGGGGACCGTCATTCTGGCGAAACGCGGGAGTCCGCCGCTCACCGGTGGCCGGTCACAGCATCGAACTCGAGGACAGAGAGGGACGTCTGACAGATGGGGGCTCTCAAGGTGAAGGGGGAGGGGGCCTGTGTGTGTATGACTGAGGCTGGACATGAAGGCGGCTGAGGGGGGGGGGTGCGTTGAGCGGTAGGGTGGCATGAGACACCTTGCCAGTGCTTAGGAGTCAGGATTTGGGGGGGGGGGGATGCGAGAAGGATCTGTTGACAGGAGCATGGATAAGACCCTAGCAGATTCACGGGGGCCAGTACTTCACAGGGACCCTTGAATATGTACAATAATAAAATTGTATAATGGGGGGGGGAGGTCATATTTTGTCAGGGGCCCCAGAATTTCTAGCGATGCCTCAGGACATCGGAATAGGAAAGGACATCGGCCCTGTTCCTTGCCCTTGCTGCTGTCCATCCTCATAAAGCTGCTTCGTTGCAGTCCTTCACGCCCCGGGCCCTGAAACGCTTCTCCATCCTGTTTGTCGGAGCGGGCTCTCGGGAGCGCGCACGCCAGGTTTCTCATTTCCATCATCACCTTAGGGGGGGGTGAGTGGGAGGGGCTCGTGCTGTAGCCTGTTTACTCATGCATGGGTTTCTGTCTCCAGACCGCTGCGCTCACTGGGGCCACCTTCCTGGCTTGTGTCCAGCAGGACCCTCCTGCTCATAAATCCTCACCGCTCCAGCACCCAGTCGCTGGGAATTCCATTGTCTCAGTCTTACTGAGAAGTCACACTCTCTCTCTCTCTCTCTCTCTCCCATCTTCCGTTCTCAAAAGCCAAGAGGCTGCTGTCAAGTCCAAATGGGAGATGGCCGCTGGGCCCACAAGATGCTGAATCACGCCAATGTGGAAGCTGCTCGTGCCCGTTAAGTGACACAGGCCTGACTCCCTGACCTCACCTCTTCAGACCGGGGCACTTCTGACATCTCGTGTCCGCTTCCTGACACCCGTTCTCTGTCAGGACACAGCTGAGGTGGGGTGTGAAGGGGGGGAGTAGAAGCTTGTCACAGATGTCAGCCTAACCGGGATTTAATGCCCCCACTCCTCTGAGAGTTGCGTGGGAATTAAACTGGAAAGGAGTTTTCCTTCTCGGATGAGAGGACACCCGTATCCAGGCCTGGTTTAATGACAACGGCAAACACGTCCAACCTTAATCTCATTGCGAATGGAAATGAATCGCCCAGACTGATAAAGAGGAAAACACAATTATTTTTCACATTTAGAGCAGCCGGGACAGACGCTGGGGAGCAGGCTGCCTGTAGGTCTGATATATGCATGTTCATTAAT